TGTCGCTAAAATGCATCGTTTCAGAGAAAAGTAGATATCAATTTACTGAACTTATCAGTGATGAACTGGAGATTAAATTCTATGTTGTTTCGTAGAACTAAATTCAAATTCTACCTCATTATCATTATTCCCAAAATTCACGCGAGAAGTAATTTTGATAGAAAACTGTCGTGGGTTTGTTGGCATCAAAAAAACCCAAACAACGGCGTCACATTGCATGACTGGGCGGTCAATTCTGATCACCAAAACGGGAAATTACACGACCAGGAAATGACTCATGCTGTAATTGAACTGTTTTTGGAGCTGTATGGCATGTGGCGCCGTCTTGTTGAAACCACATGTCGTCTATATCAATATCTTGCAATTTAGATACAGAAGACTGCATTATCATATAGTGATAACAAGCACCATTAACTGTTATTGCCTAACCAGCCGCATTTTCGAGGAAGAATGGTNTATGGATGCATTTGTTTCTCAGCAATCACCCGTAGATTTTCTGAACCCACAAACAACTATCGTGAAGTAAAATATCGACAATAATGTTTTGAGAAATTTTAAATAATCAAATAAAATCACTCAATATATTACCACTTTTAAATAAAATTCGCATAAAATGTAAATATTATTGTGTGACCAAAAATGGTTATATTTGAAAAGAAAAGTAACCCACGTCGATTCAAAGTGGCGGACAATACCTATAAATATTAGTATTAGGAAGAAATGTGTAATTAATAATATTTGAATTTTCGGCTAGAAATCTGACCAAAAAATGTTTAGGTTTTATCAATTAAATTGAATAATATTCGCAAAGAAAAGCAAACTAAAGCAGAAAATGATAGTAACAATCGAGTTGCATAAAACTCACCTGGAGGTGATTTTCGTAGAATCGTGTCGGCTTTTGTCACAATAATATTCAAAATAAACGTTTTTTAATTTTCAACACAACCAAAAAATGTTTTTGCCACACAAAAACGCGGAATGATTAAAAGGCAAAAACAAAAATGAAATAGGCGTATATTTCTTCCCATTCTATAGGTAACCCAGATTCCTAAATTAAAGATAAAACAAAATATAAATAAAGTAAAAATTTAACTTAAATACTAACAATTATATTTGACAGTTTCCTAAAATAATGCTGAAGATTATCAGTTTTCTTATTTTTTCTATTACTTTATATTCAAAGGAAGACAGTACTAATCTGCCTACATACTGACTGACTCTGGTGCTGCAATACTCATTTTCATTATTTTTTATTTTATTAATCTTTAAGAGGCAAAAATAAATAATACTATTAACACAAAATCTTTAAAGAAATAGTAAACTAATTACTATAGATCACGAAATTAAATCTTTTTCTGCAAGCATTCAAATTTTCTAATATTTTTTTATTTAAGAGAACATTGATAATATCCTAGTATCATCTCCAAACCGAAATAAAAAAACATACAGTAAGTACACTATTTGTGATAGTTTTGTAATTTTATCGCTTTATTTATTAATTGGGTCTCTGACAACAGATACACTTCCGTGAAATAAAGATTATGTCTATCTGGGTTAAGGTCTATATATACTCATAAAATAGGTTACGTACATCTAAGTGGGTACTTGAGAGACATATTGACTATTTTTAAGTACATTTCTAGATAACGAATTGGAAAGCGAGGTCGTATAAAATCTGTTTTTGTGCGCCATAATTTTTTTTAAATAAATGGGGACATATTGGCACAAACATTACTCAATAAATTCAGCATTTTAATAACTCGATGCTCTGAGCTAATAAATAAAAAAAATAAATTATCGCACAACTGTTGTGCGATTTTGTGCGAACTATCGCACAATCAAACCTAAGAACTCTTCAAAGTTTTTAAACGTGCAATTTTTAAAATTACCAATAAAAATATCAAGAAAGATTAACTTAAGTCGATACCAGAAATTTGCATATAAAGTAATAAAATGAAACCTTTAATTTGCTTTATATCTCTTGCCAGACTTAGTTCAGTATACTACAGATTCAGAGTTTACAAGGCACGTGACTGCTGAGCTTAGTCAACCCATTGCACGATTGATACCGGTAACGAAATTTCCATAAATCGTGCCGCCACCCAATACCTATTATGACTCGTTTACAATGAACAACAACAAACCGTTACGTCTACCTTCGAGATAACGCAATCGCTGATTGGTTGGATAGTATTTCGTGAAAAATTACATGAATCACCGTCGGAGAAATAGAAATTGTGTTTTAATGTAACCTTAATCTTACTGTTTTAATGATATTTAATTTTACCGAAATTTAATGGCTAACATGAAGGAAATAAAATTACTGTGTCAAACAAAATTATTAATCACTTGGCTTGTAATCATTTATGAAGACTGTATATAACACGTATATCAATAAGATGATCTATGACTTAAATCTAAGGTAACTTTTGGTTAGGGCTAGATTCCTGATATTGTTTTTAACTGTCCATTTTTTATAGTAATTATATATACAAGATGTAACTAAATGTGCCTATGAAGGAGTGTCATCACACAAAAAAGTGTTGTTCATATAACTGATAAAAAACTTATGAAATTACGAAACAAAGCTAAGTTTAAACTTAAAAAAAGATAAATTATTGGCTGACGTTTAAAATAACTGTTTTATCAAAGAATTATTGAAGGAGTTACAATTACTAAAGAGTTTCTCCCATCTTGGTAATACAGATAAAATTAATGACTATGTTCGGAAGTCCAGAAGTTATTCAACCATCCCTTTTTTGAACTAATGCTCTTGTGGTAAACTCCACGTACTACATGTGTCGACTGGCATTAAATTACACTGTCAATATCTAGTAGATCATTAGCCAGGAAATTCACCAGATGGTTTCGAAGTTCTCGTCAGTATGCCATTAGTAGTACGATAGACTGGTGACTCTCCTCACGAATTTTCTTAGCTGTTTCCTAGATGTTGGAGGGGTGCAAGTCAATGCCTGTGAAGTGGTTGTTTATTCCACCCAGTGAGATACTAGTCATACTTCGATAACATCTTCAGATTGCTAGGTCATTTTGTGCAAGTAGGAATAAAGCAATGACATTACTGATGTGACATTCCATTAATCTTATCAATGAAACTGATTATATAGTTAATTATTATCAGTCGGATTAAATCCACTTGCAGTTGGTACCAATAGTTTTGGTATAAACCTTACGTATACTATTTACAAATTAGCTTATAAAAGCAATGTTATAAAATTTATTAAAATATATTGTCCTTATATGTCATAGTTACTATTCATACTAGCCTGCAATTGCAATTTTCTTTTTTCTTGGAAGAAGGCTTTAATAGTATATTTACCAAAAAGTGTATAATCCTATAAAAATTTTAGGCCAATAAGTGTCTTGTTTTCATCATTTAAGCAATACCAGTTTACGCCTTGGGTTCTAATGTACTACAGCAGGTCTGACAATGGTTATTTAGCCTCGGTAAGGCCTTTGACACTGTTAATCACTCACTATTATTCGCTTTACTAAGATCAATTGGTGTACATGACAAAAGCTTGCAATTATTGGAGAGCTATCTGATCAGACGTAGATGGTTGTATTAGATACTACTGAGTTCCAAAGGAGAATTTTATGTGGAGGAGTTCTCCAAAGTGCTATTTTGGAACCATTATTACTTAATTTGTATATAAGTTATTTTCTTCTTTGTGAGATAGCCAAATAAATACTAAATGAAGATTAAAAGATTTCATGTGAGTTCTCAAAGCAACTAGTCTGTCTCTTTCGATGTAGAAGTAGATGGGCAACAGACGGTGTATATGCGACTTGTAACTATCTCCATCTCTAAATATGTCTACCAAGAGTTATGTGAGTTATGTTAGTTTTTCTTAATTTAACTGTTGTCCACAACCAGGTATACTATGATTCGGAATGTGCGAGTTTAATTTTTGGAATTAGAAAGTTTCAGTATATTTTATATAAATTGTCAGATAAGAAAAATAGGACATTTTGTCCTCTTTTTTACCTTTTTATTTAAAAATGGTAAAGACTAAAGTTTTAACGAAATTTTCTTACGGTTTCAAAGAAATATACAAAGTCTAAAAAATATTGAGCCGATTCATTGGTATGTAGGCATCTTTAACAGAATATGTAAGAAAATAAATGAAAAGGGTATTGGAGTACCTACAACATTTTCAACCCATTATAAAATCGTTCTAAAATTCTACATTTAGCTCAACCCATCTTTAAAAATTGTTAGTTCGTACCAAAACGCTAAAGGCTAATCAAAAAAGTCGAGATCATTTTCATCAAAAAATTTTGTAACGGGGTACCTCAAAAACAACAGCTTCAAGGGTAAACATATAAGACACCCCATATTTTTTACTGGTTTTAGCGTTACGCTCTGTATATAAAGTGACTCATGACATCATCGAAGATTTTTTGTGCAGGTTGTTCACCTGTTCGGCGAAGGGGCGCTTACACGCTTCTCAACAAACCGATTGTAAAAATTATCCTAAAATATAAAAAACGTGGTTAAAAAACGCGAGAGCAAAAACGGCGTTTACATTTATTAAAAACGCCGTAACGCGGTGAGGTCGCCAGCCTTCCATTACTAGCGATCATCAAAATCACGAAATTTGCAAGTAATATCGGGTACCATATAAGAACAGTACCTGAAGATCTTCGCCTTTGAAGCAGATAAGGACCCGCGGTTCGACTGCGACACGCGAGAGTCGTTTCAGTTCAATCTCGCGAGCAGTGCCGGCAAGATGCATTCCTCCGTTTAATAAATATACCGCGCGAACACGTGTGATAGTCCCTGTGGCTTCGCCGGCTTCGAACAGGTGATTTAAAGATCGAGCGACGGGTTTTTCGAATCAAAATATGCGATCGATCGAAATCCAGTGATACATTAGCGCGATATATCTCCTTGCGTCGATTAGAACACACGGTTAGACGTTTAGTGATCACGGTAATAGCTATGGATTTATCTGAAGGCAAGAATACAACGTGAAAATATGAGGATAAAAAGTGTTGTATTCGTGGGCGCCCTTACGATATTCCTAGTTGTTTGTGATGTACACATATCCGAACATAACAGATATAATCCCAACATTTTACATCAAGACGATAAAGAATCTACAACCCCATCAAGAACCCGCACCAACATCGACTATAATAATGAAGGTCATACCACCCACAAGCAGAACAAGAGAAGCATGCTGACCAAATCAGACAATGAAGATATCCCCATAGATAAAATCCACAATAAAGCCGCGCGCAAAGTACGGCACCACCATGGCGAAAACCCTTCAGAAAAACCAGTAAAGACTCCTAGGAAAAGAAAGGGTAGGTGCAGAAGATACGCGCAGCGCTACTACCAACCCTACCAGGGTATGCCTGTGTATGTGCCAAAATACAACCAACAGAATTACCTGGCACCCAGCTACGTACCCCCGCAGTACGTAGTGCCGTCCTATTACTCGTCCATGTGTCGGAGTTACTGTGTTCCTTGCGTAACTTCAACGTGCCGCAGGAGATGCCCCTATTTTCCTGGCAGCTCTACTACGAAATCCACCCACCCTGGGACGAAGCCTACTGCCACGATTACGGTCACCTCTGCTGATGTGACCAAAACCAGTACTAAGCCTACTGCGACTATAACAGTCGTAACTAAACCACGTAAGTGATTAATAACTCCTACAAATATCTATTGTGCATGAGCCTCAATATTATAATATACGGAGAATAAATATGTCCAATGATTCTGTAAAATGACAATACACCCGAAACTCCTTATTGGTGTCCGGTTTCTTCTATGTAAATATCTAGTTATCCTCAGGTCACGGCGTATAATTTCATTGGGCAGTTCGAAATAACGTAGTGTAAAATTACTATTTACCCGATAAGAATCGAAGCGATTAAGCATTTTTAAAAGTATTATTATGCTAATATAGAACCGGCTAATCCTTTGCGATACAAATTATGTTTTTAAATTTAAAAAAGGATATCAAATTTTAATTAACTCAGTGCCGCTTTATAATTACAGGTACTTATATCCTCCTAAAATTAAACAAGATGTAATCGTTTACTTCATAATAAAAAAAAAGTTTTTATTTGTGTTTGTCTTGAACAATTTCTTCAAAATACCGGAAGAAATAAAATTATATTGTTTGTAGTAAAGGTTACTCATCGTTCTATCATAGATAGTCCAGTAAATGAAAGTAATACATGTAAATCAAAAGGTAATTCGTTTCAGATTGAAACTTGATTTAATCGTTAGTTTAGGCAAAAAGAAATAATATTTCCCAAAAAGTATCGGTTTAAAACAACAAGATCATTGTTTTTAAACAATGATTATAATGTAAAAATTACCAAAAATTGAGTTTTTTAGCTGTACTTATCAAAAAGCGCTCTCTAACAGGAGTTTTTGCTTTTGTTTATACTTATGGGTTTTCAAAAAACGCTTCATTTGAGACCTGCTAAATTAAAATCCTTTATTGTTTAAATAGTTGCAAAAAAACAGCGAAATATGAATTTGCTATAAATAGAAGAAAAGAGCATAAATCGTCTCTAAACTGCAGTAAAAGTTGTATTTTGTTACGCTTAAGAAACCCTGAAAATTTGGTAAAAAAATATTTATTTGTTTACGAGTTTTTGCATTTGTTTATTTGAAACAGCATTTTTTCAATTGCAAAAACGCGGTCGTCAGCGTTATTATAAAGGGCCTTATGAGGGCTCATTTGTTTCGTCTTATATTTTCAAGATATGCAATTGGAAATTGTAATTTCATAGGCTAACCTCCTCAAAACGGCGTATAAACAAATAGTGTAATTTGTTTATAAGGTTTTTCGTTAATAATTTTGCGAAGAATAAATATTTTTTAAAGCCGATTTGATATTCCTAATCCTGGTAATTTTCACGAATTTAAAAAAAAATTGTTCTAGGACCATTTTTAGCCGAGATAGCGTTTTTTTTAAATTCATAACGTTTATTTAGTTTTTAAGACTTGAAATTTCGGGAATAAATCAATCAACCCGTAAACTAGTAATTTTTAGTAATTGTTAACCATTTAAAAAACGTCATCCATAACATTTTTAGGTACACCTGGAATGTGGTGGGGGAAATAAGACAGAAACGTTCCGAGACTTCAAATCTTAACTGCCCGAAAATTTTGCGATATCTCCGGTAATTGTGGACCAATTTTAACGTTTTTTTTTTTAATCTGGGGTAGCGCATAAAAATAATAACAACTGCACGGTCCATTTTGCAATAATTAATTATTAATTTGTTATAAACTATGAATTTTGTAAAAAAAAAAATTTTCGCATTTTTTCGAGAAATAGTTTTTCACAATGGTACCAATAAACAATTTTCTTAAAGAACAATATTTTTATGTAAAAGAAATCAGGAAATGACATATTTTTTACGTATAAAATTTATTTTAATGAGAATCGAGTTTTTGGATGTAAATGCATAATAGTATCTATTAGGTATTTTTTAACATTAAATTACATATTATATTTTAAAAAGTAAGTAAACTAAAACACTGCATTTACAAATTTAAAGGCGTTTTCGTTGAAAACGGTTAACTTTAGAGATATTAGAAAGGTATATCTTTTTTAAGCAGAAAAGTTGCGGGAAAATATTTTTCCATTTCGAAGTGGCACAAAAAAGTTTTGGCAGTTTAAATGCTTCCTAATGGTCGCTTGTGGCGCCCTCTAGAATCGTCAATAAATTCGAATTTCTCGTCCCAAAAAAAAACCCGAAAACGAAATTTAATGAAATTAGCTCGAAGGAGTCGAAAAATGTTAAAGAAAATGTTATTTATTTTTTCAACTTTGACAACCCGTAGTTCCACTATTGTCACTTTTTGGAGTAAGGCAAGTTTAATTAAATCGACTTATTTTGAGCCGTACTATATCTTGTGGAGCGTTGTACAGACCCTTTAGAGACATCCTGTATAATAAACAAACTTAAAAGAAACATATGAGATAATTATCAAGTATTCTATTTGGCGCCAGATATTTTTAGATCTTCTTAATCCAACGTTTGCCTAAACTGATAAATGAGCCCATAGATAAACGACTTAAAATTGCATTAACGTATTGTCTGTCCGTGGGAGATGATTTACGAATAAATGTAGACCAATAACAAAGCATATTACAAAATCATCATTCACGGCGACTACTTTGACATTTAAACGGCAAGTTCTACGACCTCTAGGAGGCTGACCTATTCGCGACTAGAAACGAAAATAATCCGCGGTTTGCAAGTTCATTCACTGAAAAAAGTGAATGGTACAAATAAAGATACACGTAATTTTGTCAAGTTCCGTAGATGTATAATAAACCTGGGTCGCGATTAATACATTGATAGATTCGATTCAAATTGTGATTTTTATGACTGTTAAAACTTTATAACTTGACCTCTCAGTATTTATTTTTATGATGTATGCATAAATTAATTTCATTTTAGACTTTTACTGTGCTTTGAAACAAAAATAAACTGGTGATAGAACCAGCACGCCAATCCTTAGTTTAAACAACTTCCTTTCATCATCGGTTAAAAGTCTGTAATAGATTTAAAAACTGTACTGGGTGTTCCATTTAAACTTCCCAATGTGATATATCCAAAACTGGATTCAAGTTCTGTAAAAAATGTTTTTTTATAATGCATATAAATTATTGATCTACGGGTACATGCGCCCAATTTAAAAGTATATAAATTTTAAATATTATAATTTAAAATTTCTCCAAATATTTGGATTTATAAAAATTAAAGAAAAATACTTTTTACTAAATAAGATATTTGACTTTCTGTAAAAGACTTCAGTGACTTTTTCATTGTGATGAACCTCTAAAACGCAATATAATTATCGCAACATCTAAATAAAAAATGAAGCCTTACTATAAAATATACACAAAAATGCTCGAATGAAAATTATTAAAACATACCCTAATGAGGCAGCAAGTTTCAAACCTCCTAAATAAACTAATGGGACGAATTTAAAAAACTAGCAAAATCGATTAATATTATAATAAAAGTAGAATAACAACACGCTGCCACTTATAGCAAATGACAATAGTGATATTATCTGATAGCCACAGCAATCAACATTTTGTTTTCATCGCCTACTGAACTCAAAGTTTTAAATCCCTGGCACTGCTACGAAAACCGAAAATACAGACCTGCAAATTATGCCATTTTTCTCAAGAATGGTTTTCTGTATGTTTCTAAATACTTAGTTTCAAAAAGTTTCAAAAAGTCATGTCTACGTTACGAATAGTAATTTTAATTGTACTCAATAGTGAAAACATTTGTACGCACCACAGAACGCAACGTTGTTTACAGATCTTAAATACTTTTTTTGGTTTTCCAGACGCCTCCAAATTATGATGCCAAGTTGTACCGAACATGAAACATAATATCAGATAAATTTTTCATTTTCTATTGTTTTAAACTGTTGCGTGCAGAAATCCTGACGTTTATTAATTTTTCGCGCAATATATTAAAACAGTTAATAAATAAAGTAGCTGTAATAAATAAATCATGCCTGAACATAGGAAGAAATATTCAAGGAATTTGCAAGCATCTGAGCCATTGCTGCACTAACACGGAATTTCCGCGATAAATAGATATAAATGAAATCCGCATCGACAAAGAATCTATGCAAACGCGATCCATAAATGTCCTCACAGTCCTTATATATATCTAGTGGTAAAGTAGAACGCATATGTTTCCACATTTTGCAACAGGCAGTATATTAGTTCATGTGGCGAGTTTGTTCGAATCGTGCTTCGAAACATTAAAAAATGATGTGATTCAACCCAAACATTTAACAGATGCTGCCGGAAAAGGATTTCAACACAAAAAATTATCCAATTTCTGTCGACTACTTTGATCCACATCATTAAGTCATTACTGACATTCAACTGAAAGATGAAATACAAATTTTTTAATATTAATGGCTCTGGTATTTTTTTAAAGGTATATGGCAAATAGGTACTTAAGTAGGCTATGCAATGTCTGAAGTTGTTTCTTTGTCATAATTAGTTATTTGGTATTAGAAAATACATACTCACATTGACGATAATTTAGAAGAATTTTAGAATTGACTTGAATTAACTTAATAATTTTAAAAGAAACATGGAAGAAATCTTTATAAAGACAACAGAAGTTCCGATAATAGCTTGGAACAGAATTATGAAATATGTATTTATTTACTTATTTATTTATTTATTTATGGGTACACTGTTCTACAGGTGTAAAAAACCAACTACAGAACAAGAGGGTAAAGAGAAAAAAATTACAGAAGCAACATTAAAAGGAAAAAAAACAACAATGGATAAAATACAATAAAACAAAAACGTGCTTAAAAACTATTTTGTTATTAATATAGCATCAATAGCAAAAAAAATTGTATACAAACACATCAGCTAAAGTACACTGATTTTTTTTTGGTAGCCCTAGAATTAAGAATGATGTAAATAGGTGGGCTATATTTGTACGTGGCTTAGAAAAATAAAAATTGACCCCCGGAATGTAAAAATTAAGTTGATGCAAAAGATTTGGACAGTCAATGTGATTATTCAAAATTTTAAGTAAGAGTACACAGTGGCACTGACGCCTTAAATCGAGATTTTTCAACGAATGTGAAAGTCACATTGTGGAATACACCA